AGCATGAGGATGAACAAGACCTGTAGTTCCAGGTCCTGGAGAAAGAAAGTCAAGACAAAAGGATAGTGTTGATTTAATACTACATTGACTACACAATTATAGAGGGGGTGGGCTGTGATTAGAAGTCTGTGGGCCGTCTGGCCTGTAGTTATACCTTTTGTCTTCCTTTGTTTATCTTTTAACTAGTCTGTGATTTTGAGTGTGTACTACTTACTTTAGGAGGATGAAAGAATATACGAGCTATTCTCTGCTTGCCTTATTTGAAGATCTATACAATAGTTTGTTTCAGTAATTTCAAATAAGAATTTACCTTTCATTCATACACTCTGTAATATCTGTGATTAGAGACATTTGTATTACTGACCCCATGCTCCTCAGCAAGAGCCTATAAAGAGTTAGTTTGGTGAATATCCTGTGATGTCCCAGGAATGGTTGGGGGACCTTTGCTTCTACCTCCTAACAGATTACTCAGTCAGTTTCACTTAATTCAGACCCCAAGTAGTCAACTATGAGTAGTTAGTTTACAGTGGAATAGAGTTGTATTTAAGGGAAAACTTACCCATTCTGATGGTCCACCCTCTCTCCACACCACCACTGTCAAGAACTAATTCACTCTTTGGCCAACAAACTAGCCATCAATTGATAGCCTACTCAGGAATGCATTTAATATAATAATCAAAAGTCCACCTTTAAAATATTCACTTTATGCAAATGAGGAAGTGCTATCAAATCTACTTAGAAAACTGTGTGTGTGTGTGTGTGTGTGTAAATTTTAGAAACACTTATAAAATTAGGGCTTCTTCTGATAGTAAACAGAAGTGTGTTTCCTTTTTATAATTTAAATTTCTCAATTATTTATTGCATCAGTCATATAGCAACACCAATTTTCTTACCTGCTTTTAACTGGTTTAACTTACTGGTGTCACATATACCAGCTCACCACCAGAGGTCTCCTCTTTCCATGTAGAAAGCATCCCCACTGTTTGCTGCTTAGTTTTCAAGCAGGAAGTGTTCTCAGATGTCAGTCAGCAAAGCTGAAGTTGAAAATGTAAAAACTCACCAAATTTTAAGTCTTTATTTCTGTACATAAATTTAAGTTTTACTACAACTCGGTATAAGGATAACATCTAATGTTTTTAGAAATCATAGCTGAAATAAAGCTGGCCTTACTTTTATTTGAGCTGGATTAAAAAATGAACCAAAATGACTCCAGCAGAAGTGTTGAGGGCTCAGAGTGCTGTTCCATTGGCTGAGTAACAGAATCTCTGGCTTGACTTTTGCACATGGGTAGCTGGCCACTGAAGACTGCTCATCAACAGATACTGGTAAACTTTTGCATCATGTGGAAAAAATGGAAATAAGTAGTCCTTGTTCCTCTTTTAGCCCTGCCTGCTCCTCTCCCCACTTAATCTTCTTCACGGAAAACTCTCTTTCAGTTTGTGAGACAGGGTCTCACTATGTAGTCATGGGTGGAGCTCACTAGGTAGACCAGGCTGGCCTTGAACTCACGGAGATCTCCTGCCTCTGCCCTCCAAGTGCTGGGATTAAAGGAGTCATCACAGACTGCTTGAAAACTCTTAATCACTGTTTAAGACTCTGCTAAAAAAAAATCTCTAGTATGAATCCTTCCTCACCCTTTTAGGCTTTCACGCACAGTCCGTGCCTCCAAGTACCACACTGGCTCGTGCTTGTGTTTCCCTGTCGTCTGTCTTCTCCATTAGACCATGGATTCTATGAGGACAGGATGGGATCTTCCTTTGTCCTCTTGCTGCTGCTTTGTCTCACCATGGGTTTGTACAGAGTATAGCAAACATTCAGTGAGCATTTATGAATGAATGAATGAATGACTAGGTAGGATTCACTCATTTAAATGAGAAGTTGGGTAAGATTTTGACAGATGAAGTTGGGGGTGGAATTAATAGAGGGAATAGCCTGAGTAGAGAATGAAAATGCCCAGATTTGTAAGTGAAATTGGCAACAAAGGAGTTGTTAGGGTGGACGTAGGTGGAGAGAGCTTTAACAAAAGTCTGGCAAGGCTGAGACTGCTGGATGTAGTGGAGGCAGATTTGTGGTGATGAAGACAGCCATGGTAGAAACATGGAGATAAAGATGGAGTCTGAGAGGTACTGTCAGTTGAATAGTTGAGTACTTGCCTAACGGGTCCTCAGTCCTGTGATCAATTCCCAACACTGCCAAAAAGAAGGAGGGGTTGGGGAAGACCAGAGGAGGAAGAGGAGTCGTGAGAAGAGCAGGTGGGCCCCAGATTCCATCAAAAAGAAGGAGGGGTTGGGGAAGACCAGAGGAGGAAGGAAAGGCCCGAGAAGAGCAGGTGGTCCCCAGATTCTGTTATCAGGCCTCAACATCCCACTGTTTCCTCGGCTTTCAAATGCTCCCACTCAGGCACTTTTTAAGTCTTCTTCTCCCTTTTTGAGTTCTAGAATCATCCAGAGCCCTGACTGGTAGGGAAGAGCACTAGGTTCAAATGCAACACTCACACGAATTAGCTCTGAAACATTGAGCAAGTTCCTTTAGACCCATGCATTTATTAATGCCCCACCTTGTTCCAGAAAGGATTTAGAGTGTCAGCATGTTACTTAATATCAAGGCTTCAGTTTCCTCATCTCTAAAGGAGAGGTTTCATGTAGCTGACCTAAGTTCCTTCCAGCTCTTACACTTTGTGACTCTGATTCCAATGATGATGTTGGCCATCTTCCCTTAGGAGTCCTGCCAACACTTCCTATTTAGACTAGGAAAAATTAAAAGGAAAAAGAACTGAGCCCACAACCCTGACCCACTGTTTACTTATATCAGTGTGTATGTGTGATGTGTGTGTGTCTGTTTGTGCTCACATGTGTGTGTTTGCATGTGGAGGTCAGGGTCAACATTGAATGACCTCAGTCTCTTTCTGTTGTGGGCTGTCCACCAGAGACATGAGTTTAAGCCAATAGAAAGTCTTTATTAGCTGACTGGTGACTACACTGAGTGTTCAGGATCTCAGTATAGCCCCAGGCCTTTCTCAGGGTGAGCTTTTAAGCACAAACACCATGTCCTTTATTGACATACTTCAGTTAAAAAGAACAGTTAGCCAGAAGTGGAATGACAGAAGCCAAAAAGCAAAGTTGGTATATTTAGAGACTTCTCTATAACTGTGAACTCTGATGGATTAGGTCTTTGTTTCCATTTTGGCTAGTGGTGCGGTCTGTGTGCTGAGTTTTATGGCCTGAGTGGAATTTCCATCATGGGGTCAGTTGTGCTAAGTTCTGAGGCCCTGTTACATTTCTACCTTACTTCTTAGAGGTTCTCACACTGATCCTGGAGCTCGCCAGTTAGGGTAGACTGGCTGGCCAGTGAGGGATCTTTCTGTCCCTACTCTCCCACCACTGGGATTATAGGTGCATGCTGCCAAATAGGCTTTTTACATGACTGCTGGGGATCCGAACTCAGGTCCTCACGCTTGTGGGCAAGCACTTTACTCATTGAACCATCCTTGTTATTGGCTTCTGATAATGACATCACCATCCTGCCAGTGATCCAGGACCAAGGCTTAGTATCATCTTCAGGTCTTCTTGCTCTTATTTCTAAATGTCCCTTACTGAGCCATATGGAATCTTAGCTCTGCCATTGTATCCTTCTGTGGCTAAGCCCTTTCCTATAAAGCCCTTGTTAGCTATTTCTGTACCGTTCTGTATTTACTTATTTATTTATTTTGAAACAGACTGTAGCTATTTTGTTCAGGTTAGCCTCCAATTCCTATGCTAAAGCGAGCCTCCTGCCTCAGCCTCTGAAGTAGCTAGGGTTATAGGACCATGTCACCATATCTGACTTGATCTTTGGTCTTGATGCTGCTGTCTGAGTAAATTTCCTGGAGCACAGCTTCAACGCAGCCAGTTCTCTGTTCTGGTATCTCAGTGACTCCCTGCTGTCTGCAGAACGTGGTCCAGATAGCCTGGCTGCAGCCTGAACTGTGAGCTGGTGGAACAGACACTTCTCTTCTTGACCTTCGTGGACAAACCAAACCGACCCACAACATGCCTTACTTTCCTGCCTTGGCCTATAACCTGTCATAACTTACCTGGCTTTTTTGTCTGTTGAATCATCTCTATCCATATTTTAGCTCTTTCAAGGCTTGTATCAAGTCTTGTCATTTATTTTAACTACTTGGTGACTTGGGCCACTCCAACCTGGTCTAACTTGTAATTTCCTCAAGGATAGAGACCACATTTTACTTTTCTTGCAACTCCAACCCTCACAGCTGGCCCACTACTAGAGAACTTGAACTGAGATAAATTGAGACTTAATCAGGAATTATTTTCTCAGCTCATGGCTGGAAATCATCTGAACAAATCATCTCTTTTCACAAATGAGAAAATCCAGGGTCAGAGAAGTAAAATTGCTTGCCCAGACTTCTCAGCTGCCTGATGTAGGTTTGTTTGTGCTCTGGTGACCCACTTGTGTCTTTATCCTAAATAGACCTGCTTTTATTTTCCTTTCCCTACTTGGATGGAAACACTGTAACTGTGTCACATTGTTCCTTACGGGACTATAGTTTGTCATTTTGTTTTTGAAATGTATATCGGAAGTGGAGCTGGTTTGAGCAAATCTATAGTTATATTAAAAAAAATAAACATTAAGGGGCAACACTGCAGACAATTAAGGTTCAAACAATGAAATTTAAGATAGAAGGGACCTTAGACATCATCTAGTCCCAACCTCTCATTTTGAGCAAATAAGAAACAAACAAAATCCAAGAATTGGAGACAGTAGTGACTGGTCAATAACATGAACTATCGGTACAAGTATTGACACTGAAGCTGTGGAATAAGTTACTAGATGTGTGGGACTCTGGCTGATGAGTTCATGAGGGTCTGTTTTGTGTGTCTAGATCAAATGATGTGGGGCTCTGGTTGATGAGTTCATGGGGGTACTGTTTTGTGTGTCTAGATCAAATGATGTGGGGCTCTGATTGATGAGTTCATGGGGGTACTGTTTTGTATGTCTAGATCAAATGATGATGTTTGGAAAAATTTCGAGGCAGCTCTGCAGCTTAAAGACAAGCCCACGGTCATGTGACTCCAGATACTTCTGGGAATGGTTGAATACAGTGTTTAACAAGTAAGTGACTCTAATTAAGTGAAGAAATGTGGGGATTTTTATAACTGGACAGGTTCTAAATTGCTCTTTGGCTAGTTGGTTATTTCTTGTGTTTCAAATTATTTTTCTTTTGAACATTATGCATAGTATGATCCTAATTTTTTATAAACAATAAAACACAAACAGAAAAGTACCTTATAAAATATTAAATTGCTTGTCTGGGTTACAGAAGGTTAGTGTATTTTTATTTTTTAAGATTTTTTCATTTTTGCTTTCTGTGTATGTGTGTTGGCTGCATGTACGGATGTGCACCACATGTGTGCCTGGTGCCCACAGAGGTTAGAAGGGCATCATTCCCTGGAGCTGCAGACATTTGTGAGCTGCCATGTAGGTGCTGGGAACTGAACCCAGGTCCTCTACAAGAGCAATAAGTGCTCTTACCCAGTAAGCCATCTCTCCAGTCCCAAGTGGGTTTTTTCTTATTTTATTCTTATTTCTATTGCTGCCCTTCAAATTATCCAAAACGAATTTTTATTCTTTTTATACTCAACAGTATATGTCACTTTGAAATAGCTCATTCTCATTCTTCTTAAGGAATGCTATTAGCGTTTTGAGTCCTGCTAGGAGAACGCTGGTGTTTAAAACACGCCTTCAGTCCCAGCCCTCGGGAGGCAGAGCCAGGTGGATCTCTGTGAGTTCGAGGCCAGCCTGGGCTACCAAGTGAGATCCAGGAAAGGCGCAAAGCTACACAGAGAAACCCTGTCTCGAAAAACCAAAAACAAAACAAAACAAAACAAAACAAAAAAACAAAAAGCAAACCTTAGTGTAGCCAGATGTGGTGGCTCACACTTTTAATCCAAGCACTTGAGAGACAGAGACAGGAGAATCTCTGTGAAATCAAGGGCAGCCTGGTCTATATAAGTGAGTTCCAGAATACTCAGGACTACATAGAGAAAAACTTAAATAAATTAGAATAAATAAAAAATAAAAACTTAGTATGTGGCATACTCATAGAAGTACTGTATTGAAACAGGTATGACAAACTCATTGCTTAACCTCACCCTGTGACTGCAAAGAAAAAGGCATTGCAGAAATTAGTAAATAGTACAAAGAAGCTAATTTGAAAATGGTTTCAAAATTATTCCCTTTTTAATTGTTTGTTTGTTTGTTTGTTTAAGACAGAGTCTCTCTATGTAGCTCTGGCTGTCCTGGAACTCAATATATAGACTGGGCTAGCTTCGAACTCATAGAGATCCAGCTGCCTCTCCTGGGATTAAAAGTGCGCCACCATACCTGGCTTCTTGTTAATGTTTTATCAGTAATGAAAACTGGTCCCCAGATAGTCACTATATTGTGATAGGGATCTCCTATCACAAGCTCCATGACACATATGAATGCTTGCCTAACATAGGGAAGACCTGGCTTTAAGCCCCAGAACCAAAACAATAAATTAAATCCCACCATGTCCGGTATGAGAGCACATACCTGTAATCTCTCCACTGAGCAGGCAAAGGGGAAAAGATCATGAGTTCAAGGCTAGCCTGGCTGGCACAGTGAGACTCTGCCTCCAAAACGTTGGTAATTATATTGATATATCTTGTTAGAGCTTCCAGAGAGTAAAACTAAAGCAAAAAAAAAAAAAAAAAAAAAAAACCACACACACACACAAGAAAGAAAAAGGAAAAAGGAAGCAAAAAGCGCTAAAGAGAACCACAGTTTGTTTGGTTTTTTTCCATAGTTCCCATTAATACATTTACTTCTCAGTCATTTGAAATAAAAATTGATTTCTGGTCCATCTTTATATTGGTGAACACAACTAAGAAACTAGCAGCAAGGGACATGAACTACCTCTGTTTTCTTGTCAACAGAGTAGATTATGAACGCATCAGGGATGTTGGCCCTGACAGGGCAGCATCTGAGTGGCTAATTCGGTGTGGGGCCAAAGTACGCTACTGTGGCCACCAGAAGTGGCTACAGGATTACAACCACATCCCAGGAGGCTCTGAGGGCAGATACAAGATTCAAGCAATTGATGCCACCGATTCTTGTATCATGGATGTTGGACTGGATCACATGGGTAAGTCCCAGCCGTTCGCTTTTAGGGCATGCAGGTGGTTTACAGTGAATGTTTTGTTACAGTTTGCTCACTCTTACAGTCATGGTCATGTGTTTCAGTAAAATTGATTGTTTATTCCTGTGTTAGATATTTATCTTCAAAGCAAATAGAGATCATGTGATATGCACCTTCCTCCCTTATGAGCATCTCTCTGTGTTCTTTTGTTCACTTAAAATTTAAAGCTTGTTTGATTTGGTCAGACTATCTAAGTCAAACTTATGTCTTTGTGAGCCCCTCAGTAACATAACACTAATAAATCCAGACAGCGTCTGCTCATGTGGGAATTTCTTTCTTCCAATACCTGGGCATATGACTTCAGAGTGGCCCTTGCACCAGCCCACGCTGTGTAAGGAATATGTCATATGGTCAACAGGGTTTCCATAGAATGGTCAAAGCCAGGACAGTCTTGTCTGTGAACCAAGGACTGTTAGTCATGGTAATAGTAAAATGGATTCTTAAACAATGCGTTTCCCCCCCAGAGGGCCTAGAGCATGTTGAAAAAATCATACTATGCAAGTGTCATTATGTTGAAGATAACTGTTTGCAGAGGCTTAGTCAACTTGAAAAATTACGAAAAAGCCTATTGGAAATGGAGATCATCGCCTGTGGGAATGTCACAGACAACGGCATCATTGCCTTGCGACATTTTAGGTAAGTGGTCAAAGCCAGAACTTGATGAGGTGGACAATCAGAATATGAAGCAGTAATCTCGGATCGCAGGCAGTTTGAGATGCTTGAAACACTGGAACCAAAGGACTAAACCGTTTATCTCTTAACTAGCTGTTTTATCTGGCTGCTTCAAGGCTTCTTCCTCTTACAGAAACTTGAGTACCTTTAAGAACTTTGGGCAGTGTTTGTTTGTGTTATTTTTAATATTTATGTACAAAGGGTAGCTGTTTTGTATGTGTATAGAAATAAAAAAGACTCAGAAATGTCAATGAAATAAGGAAAAATGATAATTTTAAAGTCTCACATGAGTTTCATTTAAAATAGCCTTCCAATACTATTGCTCTAAAAGCCATTTGGAAGGTATGTGGTGATGTAAATACCTTTTACATGTTACTTTTCCTAAACGTCATATAAATTGAATTCATTTTTACAGCCATAAAAGGCAACACTGAAGTAACTTTGTTTTTTTCTCTGTTTGCAGGAACCTCAGGTATTTGTACTTAAGTGATCTTCCTGGAGTCAAAGATAAAGAAAATCTTGTCCAAGTCTTTCAAACAGCACTGCCTTCTCTAGAACTAAAATTAAACCTGAAGTAAAATGAGTGTCTGATTTCAGTACAAAGGGTCACTTGAAATTGCTCATACTAAATAGCTACACACACTACATAATCACCAATAGAACTAAGGAGGTGTTTTAATAATGGAGAAGTAGAGAATAATATTTAAAAGTGACTCACTAAAGTTACTTAGTTGGAAGTGAGAAATTATGTACATTGAATCACTTTTAAAAATATGACATAACATTTTAATTCTCATGTCTTCCTCATTGGCATGTATACTGTATGTATTGCTTGGTGTAGATATTGACATAGAGATCTTTAAACTGCATTGCAAATATTCTTTTTGTATTATAATAATTTACATCTTTAAAGGCACTGAGGCATGTTGCTGTAGATGCCTGATTATGAAGAACTGAAAGCTCAGTTACAGATTCATTGATGGAGTCGGCTGTACACAGTTGTGAGTGGTGTTGAGAACAGCACGCTGTATTACTTCCCAGGATTTGCACACGTTGCTCAAGCTCCTGCATTTCTGTGTTCCTAATAGGACATACTTTTTAAAAATACCCTGTCTCAGAATGAAGAGTGCTGGTTAATTCATCCTACTTCTAAGCTTGGGCTACTGCTGGATAGAACTGAACACAGGTTCTCGTCTATACCCAACTAGTTTTGCTGGTAAAACAAAGCAGGAACCAGGCTGTCCTTACTCCCTATCTACTTCAAACAGAATGTTAGTGTGCTGATTAAAAGCTAAATTTTGCTGTCCCTCAAATATTTTGAATGCTACCTCCTATGAACTCAAGGGACATAAAAATATAAACATGAAAATGAATTTTATATCTAGAAAACACTAATAAAGAATGTCATAAGGGGATAAAAACTAGTCTTTAATTTTTTACCTGAAATAGCTGTAATTCCATCATTGTTAGTTCTATGCTGATCCATGTGTAGGTCTCTGTATACATGGTTGGATATCAGGTTGCTGAATATAAATTTGACTAGGAATGACCTTCTGCAGTGCAACTCTCAGGCGGAAAAGGGAACTCCAGCTGGTTTTAGAACTCTGCTTATAAAAAAAAAAAAACACCCTAATTCATGGGAAAATGCAAATTACAGATATCACTGTCATTTGCAAGTCAGAAAATAGTAAATAAAAACAAAGACAAGATAAAAGACGTGTAGAATGGTCTCGTGTGGTATGTGCTGATTCCACATGGGAGAGGAGGTTTGCAGGTTTGCTCAAATTTCCATTGAGCATAGGCATAAATGTAATAGACTGCACCAAAGAAAGGCAAGCCCTTTTATCTCAGGTCTGTTTTGGTACTGTGTGGCCAATAGCTAATTCGTCATGACTTCATCTGGAGAGACTTTTCTAGTCTACAGTTTTCTGTAAAACTACTGGATAAATTAGGCAGTTACCATCATTTGCTTCCTTCAAATACATGTTTATTGATTTAAGAAGAGGGTTGGGGGAGGCAATCTTAACTATTCACAGAAGTTGATACCCTTCCTTGTCATTTAACATGGCTATTTAAGAGGAACTGAATAACACCGGGGCTGTTATTTAACCCACCGTCAGGTCTATGGAAGAAGCTTCATATACTTAGGAAGCCTTAATTTGCCTTGGAGTAGCCAAGATTATTGAACAGAATTTAGTAAACTACGTAGAAGGAAGTGAACGGGGCTAAGTGATGTCATGAAATTAACACAGGAAGAAAAATGAGAGTGCAGAAGAAATGTAAAGGTGCAGGAAAATAGAGCTTTGAAATGCATGTCTGAGAACTCCTGTGAACCAGCAGCACCAACCAGAAATGACAGTGAGAAACTGAGACAGGCTTACATGCCCGTGTCCAGGGGACAGCAAAGAAAAGCTTGGCTACCAGCAACAATAAACGAAGTCGGAGGTAATTTTAAGTCTCACTGTTTAAAAATCCCGTGTTCATTTTACCACTTCCTCGTTTGTTGTACTGTATTCATTAGCATGGTATATACACATACATATGTATGTGTACATGTGTATGAGTGTGTATTCACAGACATATACATGGACATGATATATATAATGTAATAAGAGATACTTTCAGGAGAGAATATCAATTTGCAATCTGCGTGTTTCCTGATTCACACTAAAGTCCACAAGCAATTACGTCTAAATCCAGATCATGTGAGTTTTGCTTATAGAACAGTCTTCAGGTGTGAGGGTGAGCTGAAAAACAGAGTGATAATTATTTTCTGGCTGACAAGTTCTTTCTGTGAGGCCTGTGGGTCTTGTTCTATCCCTTTCTGATGCATCTTTTCTTAGGGTAAAGATAAAAGTGTATGCAAGAGATGTATAAGTATCTCATTGGTTATACAAGCATAAAACCTACAAAGTTTTAAGACTAGATATTTCTATCAACTTAGATATCCTAAAACATGTCTTCAAACACAAAAATCAAGAAAGAGCAAATAGGAAATGGAATCACAAACATTCTGACTTCAGGGACTAAAATCATACTTAAATATGATTTGAAAACAACAGTAGAGATAGGACTCAAGGCAAGACAGATCTAAAGAAACGCGTGTGGACATCCCATAATCCACTTTTCACTCGGGGCATATGGCAAACTGAAGCAGAAGTCCTTTCGACATCATCTGTTGCAGCTCTGGGCAGTAGACACAGTTCATGTTCGGTCTTGAAGCTCCGCTGCTTAGATATGCAGACGGTGAAACCCCAAGCTTTTGCCCTCTTCTCTGGACAGCTCCACCAAGCATGGGCGTCTGGATCTGGAATTTCTCTTCATATCTTGCCAAGTGGCCTCCAGCTTCCTCTCTGTGTTTTCTCTTGATGTGTGGTCACTACAGGAATCAAATGTCTACATTTTTTTTTTCTTCAAATGATTGGTTCTTCATCACTCTGCCCGCTCCTTAAATGTTTGGCAAATGGCAGTTAAATTTCTTGGTACTACAGTGGTACTTCTTATTGTCCAAAGCTGGGAGGAGGGTGCTGCTCGTAAGCTGAGGTAGGTACTGCAACTGAAAACAAAACACAAAGTCAGGTTCAACGCTAGGCCACGCAGGGGCTTGCATTATTATTTAGAATACACCACAAAAGCAAGAGCTTTGGAGGTACAGAAATAAATCTTTCTCTTAGGAAATCCAGAACCAGAGAGGGGGAGAAGTGTTTCAATTTGGATTTTCCTTTTCTTTCAGAGATTTGATTTATATTTTAAAAGCAGCCCAAGCCAGGTTTGTTGGCACAAAATGTAATTCCAGCACTCAGGGAGCTGAAGCAGTAAGATCACAATGGACCAGCCTGGGTTATATAAGGAGACCTGCCTCAAAACAAAGCAAAAACACAAAAACAACCAAGACCTTGGGTTAAGTTCCCACCACCATGCACAAACACACAGAACCCACATTAAAAAGGAAAAACACGAGCCGGGCGGTGGTGGCGCACGCCTTTAATCCCAGCACTCGGGAGGCAGAGCCAGGCGGATCTCTGTGAGTTCGAGGAAAAAGGCGCAAAGCTACACAGAGAAACCCTGTAGCGAAAAACCAAAAAAAAAAAAAAAGGAAAAACACACAGGTCTGGAGGTGTATCTCAGTAATAACTTGCTTGCTTACATGTGAGAGGCCCCAGCACCACATACACACACACACACACACACACACACACACACACACACACACACAAAGAGAATTTAAAGACTATGGAAGAGCAGGTGATATCTGCATTATTGGAGAACAAAAGAGATTCACAGCGTTTGAGAATATCATGTAAGCCAAGGCCCTGTCCAGTAGAGAAAACAGATGTGCAGACCACTTGGGTGCATTGCCCACTTACTCCTCTAATTAAAAAGACAACACATCCATCTTCCTTCAAGCTTCAACAACAACAAATGTCAATGTCAAATGAAAATAAGAACAGGCCTATATATTTTTTAATTGTACCATGTGGCCTTATGTATCTGGAACAAAGATACTCTTAGTTCTTTTAAATAAAACAGTCCTCCAGGACTTCAATACACCAAACAGTGAGGTTCTTTATTCCTTCCAATAGAAATATTTCAGGAGGGCTCTTTGCTCTTGAACACACAGTATCAGTGAAATGGAGATAACTCAAGGAGGAAAGAGAGAGGGGACTTCTGGCCTGATTTACTCACTGGGCCATATATGATAGAGAATAATATCTCTTAGTTTTGTAACCATGGTCTACCTCAGAGCCTTGACATTGAGAAAGCTATTATTCCTAATAATAGCTCTATCTCTTCCCTTCCCAAACCACCCACTCACCCAACCACCCCCCTACACACACACACACACACACACACACACACACACACACACACACACATACACCAACCAGGTATATATTTGAGGAAGTAGGGCCTACAAAGAATAGATTAAATGTGGTGGTTTGAACAAGAATGGCCCTTATTATTTTGAATGCTTGGTTCCTATTTTCTAGAACTGTTTGGGGAAAGATTAGGAAGTGTGCCCTTGTTGGAAGAAATGTATCACTGAGGGTGGGCTTTGAGGTTTCAGAAACCCATGCCAGTCTCCCTCCCCCCAACTCTCTCTCTCTCTTTCTCTCTGCTTCCTGTGGATAATATGTATGCCCTCAGCTACGGCTCCAGTGTCATGCCTGCCCGCCTGCTGCCATGCTCCCAACCATGATGGTTATGGACCCACTCTCTGAAACTCCAAGCAAGCCCCCAGTTGAATGCCTTCTTTTTCAAATTGTCTTGGTCATGATGTTTCACCACAGCAACAGAAGATAACTAAGACACTAAGGCAAGGTAATTTGAAGCTTGTGAATCTACACGGATCCAAAAGTGATCAAGAACAGCCAACCCATCTCAGCTATGGTTCAACTAGATTCTAGATTGTCACAGATTTTTGCCATTTAATTTGAGGCAATGTAACCACTTTACGCTAGTTGGGATTTCTCACTGATTCATGTTTGCTGCTGGATCCTGTCCTGTGATTAAATGTGCTATCCTGCAGGTATCCAGTAGGCCCTTGTTGTTGAGTTTCTCTTCACCAGCTCTGACAAAGGACCAGAAAGGAAAACAATTCCATTTTTGGAGAAACCTGCAATGTTGACACTGGAGGTAGTATGTCAAAGGTCTGATTTCATTCTCCAAAGTATAAGAAACATGTTCGGCTGAACACACAAGGATGTACCTGCCTGCAACTTGTGTTTGTGCACATCAGACAGCTTGGCTCCTATGTAGCATCAGGAACAGCATGGCAAGGACAACTTTAGGATTCAGGAAAGGGCCTTAAGAAGCAAGTATCTCTGAGGCCCTGGTTGGTAATTCAGATGACCTGTCTCCTACTTCTGGACTGAGGCTGCTGGGGCTGCAAGCCACACTTGTCACTCAACCTAGATTCCAACTCAGTACCAGGCAACGGGCGTGAGATCATTTGAAACTGTAACCTTGGATGTTTCTGTAAAGCAGTGCACCAGTTTTACCCCAGTCAGGTGCTTCCGACTCTGTCTCAGGGTCTTCCTCACTGACTTGTCATGTTGCCTTGTCAGCTCCCCAACTTCTCGAAGGCTGTCAAAATATGGATGCTGCAACAGCTGTTCACATGTCAGCCTCTCAGCAGGGTCCATGTGGAGGCAGCCCTGGAAGAGTAGAAAATCCCTTTTTACTCCTTTGAAGTTGCAATAACATATTTTCTTTTTTTTGAAAGACTGAGCACATTGATTTATTTTTAATTTTTACCATTTTTAAATTCTTTCCGAGATGTTTAAACTTTATGGGCATGAGTATTTTGCCTGCATGTACAGATGCACACCACATGTGTGCCTGGTGCTCATAGAAGTCAGAAGAAGGCATTGGATCCCCTGGAACTGGAGTTACAGATGTTTGTGATTCATTTGGTGCTGGGAACCAAACCCAGGTGTTCTATAAGGATAGACGCTCTTAACTGCTGAGCCTCTCCAGCACTGATTTTCACCATTTTTTTTTTTTTCAGAGCTGAGGACCAAACCCAGGGCCTTGCACTTGCTAGGCAAGCGCTCTACCACTGAGCTAAATCCCCAACCCCGATTTTCACCATTTTTAATTGATATATAAAGTTATACAGATGGATGGGGTGCTGTGTGATAATTACATACA